TAGAATAGAATAGAATAGAATAGAATAGAATCTGGAAGGGACCTTGGAGGTCTTCTAGTCCAGCCTCTTGCTGAAGCAGGAGAACCTTATACTCTTTAAAACTCCACCTATTTAAGAAGAAATTAGCTAAGTTTATGAAGTTGTTTGCTTTTCTAAAAAAAGAGCAATAAATTAAATTCACACAGACACAGCAATCCTACATTAGATTCTCTGTATAATTGTTAATTTGCCCTATCACCTTGTCCCCAGGACTTCAGACATTTATAATGGGTTTAAAGCTGTTTTGGCTATGTGCAGATTGCATGGGATAATTTCACTTTGCTAAAAGCTCTCTTGTTTGGATGAATGCCAGAATCCATCTGAAATGTGCATATGGAAACATTTCTAGTGCGACAAAAGGTTGGGAAGATGTTAATAACCTCTAGTGTTATATCACAAGTTAGAAGAATATGTAAGACAACATCCAGCACATACTCATTCTGCACCAGATTTCTTACAGTGAACTTTTGATTCATAGATGCTTTTTTGTAAGTGATTTTTGGTTACTTTTAGGAATACAGCTGGTCTTTCCTGATGCCTGCTGTGGTTCTTTGAACACGCTCATGTGTTCTTTCTACTCAGATTTTGCATGTGTTCCATGTCCCACACAGCTAACCCTCGGAATATTGGTCTGATTGCTGGAGCTGCAGCAGCAGGGGCAGTTGTGCTTATTGTCTGCATTGTCTTGGTGGCTGTTACACTCTTTTATTGGAAAAACAAACACAAGGAGGAAGAGGAGGAGGAGATTCCCAATGAGATCAGGTTTGGTCTTGGAAAATACTTTGTCTACCCTTCCAAATTTCTTCCCTTTCTTCCAAGCAAGATTGTCTCCAGGTTTCAAGAGAAAGATGTTACAGTAAAAATTCATTTGAGTGTAATGGATCCAAATTAGATGTTAGCATACAAGATTCTCATTCCTAATTCTTATAATACTAATAATGGTATGGCTATGCAGTGCCAGTTATTAATGGAGTAGGCATAAGTGCAATGCAAGTCTCATCCATCATCTTTTCTGACATGTTAGCAAAAGGGTTACATGCAATATTCCTGGTAAGAAAAGTATAGTTTGTTAATCAGTCATGGCAATCAAAACCAGCAATAAATTCTCAAGAGAAAATAATTCCTTTTAATGCTAGTTAATGGCAATAACATAAGAAATAACCATGGTTAATTTCTGCCTTTGTCCATTATCACTGTATATCAGCTTTGACAGAATGGAAAATTAGAATGTAAAACTTAAAGTTGTGGTGTCAGTGCTTGCATATTTGGGCAAGAATTAAGATATTGGTATTAAAGATGTGAAATGATTGGGTGTTTTTTTGCTGTTCAGTGTTAATTATTTAATGCATGCTTGTCAGTAAGCGAGGAAGTGTTCCTGTTTGTTTTGGAAATGAATGGATATTGAGGAAATAGTGTGAAGGGAATCGTAGTTATGTCTTTCTTTTTCTTAGGGAAGATGATTTGCCACCCAAATGTTCTTCATCCACAAAAGCCTTCCATGGTGATGCTTCCTCATCTGAAAATGACACTCTCACCTCCTCCAATACGTACAACAGCCGATACTGGAATGACCCCAAAGCAAACCATGCTACAGACTCTTTCACTCACCTCAGCAATGACGCACGGCAGGCCTTCTCTCGTTCTGGAAGCACCAATGCCCGTTCTATATATGCTAATGGAGGTCATCCAGCACCCCCTCCACCGAAGACATTGGTAGTGACAACCAATACAGCTCCATCTCCACAGGAGATGGCCAGGAGTAATGGATCAGTGAGTCGGAAACCACGACCCCAGCACACATGGTCCTATGCTGTAAGCCAAGCAACGCTGGAGAGGATAGGTGCTGTGCCTGTAATGGTACCAGCACAGAGCCGAGCGGGCTCTTTGGTGTAAAAAATGGTTGTGGTTCTGCGAATTTGTTACAGTAAGTGGGAGTGAAGATGGGCCCAATAAGAGACTCTCCTCTTCCTCCCTGAAATGGAGGGGAAGATCTGTGTTCTTCCCTTACCCCAATCAACTGAACCCAACTGATGTGATGATCCCTCCTTTATTACCCCACCCTCAAGATCTCAGGGGCTCCTCAGCTATGGCTGTATGTGCCAAGGTCAAAAGGAGGCCATTTAAGGCATCAGGGGAAGGAGACCATACTTGCTTTCTAAGGTCTGCTATACAAAATTTCTATTAGTATGGTAAACCAGATGGAATTTATAAAGTCCAGAGGTCAGTAGATCAGATCAGCTGCCTTGGGGTTAGCCCATTGCTGCTTGGCTCAAAACTGACGATGGTGAGGGGGAACTGGTGACATTCTGTCTGTGACTACTGATCTCAGAGTAAAGAAGCAGAGGAAAAAAAATAAGCTGGGGCAAAAGAAGTGGGGAGGGAGGACAATTGACTTGAGAGTTCTATTTTATTTAATTCTTTTTCTGGAGTTCTTTATTTCTATCTTCCTCCCTTCTCCTGCTTTATGTCATTCTCCAAATTGGATTTTTATCCCTCTTGCACTAGTTTTTCTGGATGCTTCTCACATCCCTTGTCACCTCCATGGCAACTCTGGTCACTTTGGCCTTGTTCCCTGATGGGCTGCTTGGCATCTGATTGGCCTGCTGCTGCTGCTGCTGTTGTTGCTGTTGTTTGGCTGTTGTTGAGGGATTTGGGGAGGGCATGGTATGGGGTGGAAAACTGAAGCCTCCATTGCTTAACTGAACTGGCTGTGTATTTTCTAGGGTGTGTGGCTGGCATTTCTCAAAAGAGCTAGATTTCCAAAGCTTTTGGCATCTGCATGGCATGTCCCCATATATGGCTGTGTGGGGCTGGCCTGCATGGTCAGGTTGATAGTTGACCATTCACACATTAAAAGCATCCATTTTAACCCTTCCTTTACAGGATATCTTGGACATTATACTAGGAAAGGAAAGGAAAGGAAAGGAAAGGAAAGGAAAGGAAAGGAAAGGAAAGAAAGAATACGGGGAGGAATAAAACAAGGAATTTAAGAGCAGCAGAAAGATAGATAATGGCTACCCCGCCCCTCCTTTCTCTTTTCTTGAAGTGTGGTCTGCTCTAAATGGTAGCCCATGGTGACAGTTTTCACTCTTGTAATTTCATTAGCCTTAATTGAAAAACAACAACGGAGAATTTGAAAAGAAAGGAAAGTGAGGGTCTTCCATGCTTCATATGGAGCTTGGGATAGGGTAGGGAGGGAATACATTTCTGAATACCTCGAGGAGGCTCAGCCAGGGAGGCCTCACTGAGCCCTGCTGTCCGCACCTGCCTCATTGATCACTGACACACTGGTCTTAAATAAACTTCCTTTGGAAGTTCCTAACAGGATTTCCTTCTCTGCACTGACAAAATATATCCTTCTGATCAAAGCCTGGAATTAGGTAGACCTTCTTCCACTGGCTCTCTTCCATGTTCCAAACTGCACTGGAAATGAGGTTCCAAGAGAATCTCCACTGCTCTTTCACTTCCCATTCTGCTTCACTCTAACTTCATTGTTTTCCTTTCCAAATGGATGTTAAGGCCATTAGGAGAGCTCTCTTCATAGGCCATATACCACCTATGTGACGCCATCGTCAAGAGAGCCCTCTGGGTTGAACTAGGTTTAAAGCTTAGCTGTGCCTTTTTTGCTTGTTTTTTTTTTTTAACACTTCTCCTTCCCATTTATTTTCCTTCTCTTCCCCCCCCCCAAAAAAATACTGCTAATGGACTTGCTCCATCAGTTTCAGAGCACACCAGGAAGACAGATGGCTGCTGTATTTATACATGTTTCCTAGGGAGCAGTATCTCTCCTCCCCTATTCACTGCTGGTTTCTCCTTTTATTATTTGGAAGTTGTGTGATGGCATTAGGGAGTGCTGGAGACGTGATAGCTTAGAAGAAAGAAGAATGGCTTTTTTTAAGGTAGTGAAAACAAAAATACTACATAAACACGTTTTCTCCCTCTCTGCTTTTCTAACAATGGGAAACAAAGACGTTTTCAAGAGATGCTGCTTACAGCAGCCTACAACTAGTGCTCAGAAAGCTCTTCCTGGTTCTACTGTTCCCTCTCCTCTTTCTTTCTTCTTTCTAATTGTCTAAAAAATAATAAAACTTTTATTCATATAAAAGAGGAATGATTGTCTCTGAATTCGGTTATTTATTTGCTTTATATGTTTTATATATATGAATACTTAAGGTACAAGGATCATAGCAGCCTTTCTTTACAAGACCTTTCTCTGACCACAGTTGTTGAAAATGGACAGTGTGGTTTCCCATTATTCTGAGAGTGAAACAAGAAAACTGTAATTAAGTTCTAAAATAGTTAAGATTTTTTTTTAAAGAACCACAATCCTGACACCGCAAACTAAATAAAGATCCTTGACCCAACCACCTATGTTACATGATCCTTCTCACTTTGCATCTTTATCCCCACTCCATGTGGCCTTGTGTGGCTCTCATTATTCTAACAAATCTACATCAGTTTTAAAATGCATACTTTCTGCAACACAAAGTCCCAGCTTCCAGCTAGGCCATTTTTGATTAAAAGAATCAGATTGGAAATTATGGGGAAAAAAACTCTACCAGAAGCTGCCAAACAATTGTTGTCAGCCACAAGGACCAGTAGAAATAGAAATCCACCCAAAAGATGAGCAGATATTTAGGGCACTGAAAAGCTATAATCATAATGCTCTTTTTTCAAATGCAACACACCTACCTACACACCATTGTCAGGAAGTTGGAATTTTGCACCCAGTGCAATAAGCTATTACAATCAAAATGGAAATCAGGCCGGGGGTGGTGTTGTTGTTATTGTCCCACAGTGTCTTCACATTTTTTCTATGGACATTTATGCATTTATCTTTACATAAAAACCACCTTGCAGTCTGTATATTCTTTAGTTATGTGAATCCCAGATTTGAATTTGTATGAGTAAAAACAACCCTAAACAGAACTTCTAGTAAAAAAAGAAGCATGTATGTGGGGGTGGTTTTTTTATTTTTTAAAAAATTGGGGCTAGAAAGGGGGGGGAAATATGTTGCATTGAAAAGACTATTAGCTGTTGTTTCCTCAGAGGCTTAAATTTGGGCATAATTGTGATTAGAAATGGGCTGAAGCAATGTTTATATACAACTAAGAAATGGACTGAAGTACTGTTCATGTACAAATAGCCCCTTATTGCTAATTGCATTATGGAACAGCTGATGGACCACTGTCCAGGAAATGCAAACTGAATGCAAATTTGAGTATGATAGGAAGGGCCCAAAACATAGAACTTTTATAAAGCAATAAAAGCAGAATTGAACCTCTTAACGTGTAGAATAAATGTCCCCACTGTTAAATTTAAATAATACTTTCAGCACTGTGATTGGGTAAGCACAATTTGTTGGCAATCAAAGTCTACCAACTTCATGGAGCTTTCAATTACTTTATTTTCACTCCAGTGTGCCAACTCTGAAGAGCATATGAATTCCCCAGTATATAATTGGAATTAAAACCATACAATCTGTTTAAAAAAACCAGGCAGCAGAAATACTGTATTCATGTAGAATATTTGTTTTCCATAAGGAATCTGAATAAATGCCACCCATTTTCCTAAGTTTTCACCCTATTTGCAAAACACATTTTTTTTCTTTTTCTTTTTTGCTGCAAATCACAATTTGGACACCAATTTTGAATAGGGTTATTGGAGGAGAAAGATAATGTAATCTGACCAGAAACTTTATTTTAAAAAGTTCTTCAATCTCAGCCGGTCACCATCAAAGGTTTAAATCAACCCACATTTAAGTGTTTATTTTTATTTTTATTTTTTTTAATAAATTTTTTTATTAATTTTTGAAATTAAACAACAAATAATACAAATATGATGCATTTACTTGCACAAGCAAAAAAGATAATCCTAATACATTTTCGGAGACGCTTGGCAGTCCCCGCCTTGCCTCCACCCTCATTCACTTTCCTCTTCCTTCCTCTCCCTAAACCCACAACCTCTCCTCTTTCCTCCTTTCCACCTCCCTACATCCCATCTCCCTTCTTAACCACCTCATCGAGTGCAGTTTGGGGTACCAGCCGAGCATCTCTTTTTAATACAATTCCATTATTTACCTATAATATATAAATACATCATTTTTTATAATTTCTATCCCCTAGTCCCCTTCTCCCCTCCCCCCCTCCCGGACTTCCCAGAACTGAGTACAGGAATAATCACATAATAATCCAAATCTAACCCAAACAACCCATTCATAATATAAACAAGTATAAACTTACTATAACTCTAATATACAACAATCAACTTAACTATAAACTATATATATAAAAATTATATATAAAAATATTTATAAATAACAATAATTAATCAAAAGCTATATAATAAGTGTTCATTTCATATTTTCTCTGAATATAATCTAATCTGAATATAATCATTTAGGTGTTTATTGATAAATGTGAAAAAGTCTTTGTGCATATGTGCATCACACATCTTTTGGCATGCATGCAAGTAGAATCAGTCCAGACAGGATAGGTTCTATCTAAGTAGTTGCTTAATCCTCTTTTCTTTGAACTCACAAATTGGCATAGTCATAAAATGATTCCTTGTTCTGCACAGAACCTGAATGCAGAATGCAATAACACGGTGATTTAAATGTCTCAAGTGGAGTTCATTTCCTGAGGCTGTCTATTCCACTGACAAGCATCACTTTCTATTAGGAAATTTCTCCCTATATTTACCTGAGATGTATTTACTTGCAGTTTCCAGCAATTCATTTCTACACCCAATTTCTGAAGAGAATAAGCCAGAATACTGAAAAGTGATCAGAGGTACCAAATATTCTTTAAAAATGGCTTGGACAATTGTTTACAGAAATCCAGATTCCAATTTTTCCAGGTCAAGATGGCCAATTATTCTATGTATGTGTGTGA